ATATCATCAGGGTTGTGACTTCTGCAGCCATATTCTCACCTGGAGGCTTTTTTGTTGTGGCAGGCCTCTGCTGTGCCTTTATTACCTACAAAACCCAGTCACTGCACTTTACACTGCATTCTGTGAAGTGCTTTGATGCATCTTTCTGATGTGAAAGGTGCTATATCAAATGTAAGAATTATTATTAAATGGATATCCGAAGATTTCTGCAGAGTGATCACTGTGCTTTTTTACATATAGGGAGACTGTGTTGCAGGCACCCGACTCAGTAACTTCTCTTGAGGCTCCTTGTCTCCTGGTGGGAAAGTGTGTGGTCTATCTAAATAGGGCTGGGACAAATGTCCTAGCTACGCGAATAAATAGGGAGGTAGAAAGGGTTTTAAACTACTAAGGGGGGAGGTAAAAACATAGTAAAGTATAGTCCACCACAGTTAAACTTGAGATCAACAAAAGCAAGAGAGCAGATTAACAAGGGAGAAGAGCAAAGTGTGTCAAGCAGGGAAAGGAAGTACAGTGATAGAGTGCTGGTGAATAGGGTTAACAGCCGGAAGTCAGAATTAAGGGCGCTATATCTGAATGCACGAAGCATTCGTAACAAGATAGATGAATTAGTTGCACAAATAGAGACAAACCGGTATGATCTAGTAGCCATCACCGAGACATGGTTCCAGGGTGATCAGGGATGGGAACTGAATATTCCCGGCTACATGGTATATAGGAAAGATAGGCGATGTGGTAACCGAGGAGGGGGAGTGGCCCTGCTAATAAAGGATGGGATGAAAACAGTAGAGAGGAAAGATTTTAAATCTGAAAAGCAAGATGTAGAGTCAGTATGGGTAGAGATATGTAACTTCAAGGGGCAGAAAACTATAGTGGGAGTAGTTTATAGACCCCCAAACAGTGGTCAAAGTATCGCTCAAGGTAAAAATCAAGAGATTAGTAGAGCATGTAGCAAAGGAAAGACACTAATTGTGGGTGATTTTAACCTGCACATAGACTGGGACAACCAAATTGGGAAAGGTATGGGATATCTGGAAGACCATAAAAAGATTAGGTAGAGTCAACATAGCTTTACAAAAGGGAAGTCATGCTTGACTAACCTTTTAGAATTTTTTGAGGATGTATCCAGCAGGTTGGATAAGGAGTAACCAATAGATGTGGTATATTTGGTTTTAGGAAGGCATTTGACAAGGTGCCACACAAAAGGGTGTTACTCAAGATCAAGGCCCACGGGATTAATGGTAAAATATTAACATGGATAAAAGAGTGGCTATCGGGTAGAAAGCAGAGAGTAGTGATAAACGGATCATTCTCGAATTGGCAGGATGTAACTAGTGGAGTGCCACAAGGATCAGTGCTTGGGCCTCAGCTATTTACCATTTGCATCAATGATCTGGACGAGGACATTGAATGTAATGTGTCTAAATTCGTGGATGATACTAAACTAGGTAGCAGAGTGAGCTCTCAGGATGATGCAAAAAGATTGCAACACGATATAGATAGGCTAGGGGAGTGGGCAAGTAGGTGGCAGATGGAATTCAATGTTAGCAAGTGTGAAATTATTCACCTTGGTTGCAAGAATAAAAGAACAGATTATTTTCTGGAAGGGGAGAAGTTAGATAGAGTTAGTATTCAAAGGGATTTGGGTGTCCTTGTACACCAGTCCCAAAAAGTTAGTTTGCAGGTGCAGCAAGCAACTAAGAAAGCGAACGGCATGTTAGCGTTCATTTTGAAGGGTTTAGAATATAAGAGTAGGGAAGTCTTGCTGCAACTGTATAGGGCTTTGGTGAGACCGCACCTGGAGTATTGTGTGCAGTTTTGGTCTCCTTATTTAAAAAAGGACATACTTGCTCTAGAGGGGGTGCAGCCTAGATTCACTCGGTTAGTTCCTGGGATGAGGGGACTGACCTATGAGGATAGGCTGAATAAACTAGGGCTATATTCTCTAGTGTACAGAAGAATTAGGGGGGGATCTTATTGAAACTTATAAGATTCTTAAAGGGCTGGATAAAGTAGACACAGAAGGACTGTTTCTCCTGGTAGGAGAATCTATAACCAGGGGTCACAGTCTTAAAATTAAGGGTCAGCCTCTCAGAACAGAGTTGAGGAAACATTTCTTCACTCAGAGGGTAATGAACTTATGGAATTCACCACCCCAGAAGGCTGTAGATGCTCAGTCCTTGAACATTTTCAAGGCTGAGACTGATAGATTCTTGAAAAATAGAGGGATTAGGGGATATGGGGATAGGGCAGGTAATCAGAGTTAGGTGAGAAGATCATCCATGATCTTATTGAATGGCGGAGCAGGCACGAAGGGCCGAATGGCCTACTCCTGCTCCTAATTCTTATGTTCTTATGTTCTTATCAGTGAGCAATGAGTTCTTGGGGGAGGGAATATACTTTGGAACAGGATTGTGCTAGTGCAATGCTTTTATTGGAGGTAAATTGTCCTGCCCACATATAATCTTTAGAGTGGAGGGGGTGCAGGGAGCACTGAGTTTAAAACATGGGAGTCTTCAGCTTTGTATGAACTCACTGCATTGCTTTCCTGTTTATTCTTTAATACTGTAATAATAATAGCATTTTTAGAAAAGAAAAACCTTACATTTGATACAAAGTCAAAATGTCTCAAACAGTGCGTTTAGAGGATTTTTACTGTGAAATGTAGTGACGATTTGTAGGCAGTTCATGGAGAAAGAAAACTATTGCTAGAGATTAACATTCAAATACAGAGGTCCTCTTCCACATATGATGTTGGAAATCCACCAAAACTAGGGGAATATTTAAACTTGCCAAGGAGAAAGTCATTCTTATTAAAATAAATTGAAGAACATGTCAGTGGATATGTTCTCTCCCACTGGAGATGGTTACCAGCACCCACTTGTGTACAAAGGATGGGAACTCTGTAGCCTTGCTATGGCTGTGAGTCAAACAGCCTTTGTAAGAAAATAATATTTGATTTTTTTATTAAACTTCTTTAGAAACAGCTGTCGTTTATTTATAAAATTTGTAGTCTGCTGAGATGCAGATCTCTACAGGTGTCCAGGGTAGTTAGCCTGTTGAGGGGATGTTTGATTATAAGCAGATGGTGACTGTAATCCTTTGAGAAATCTGGTCCTTTGCAGCTCATCATTAATGGTTTAATAATGTAAACAATTTTATTTCTCCAACACTGTACTGCTGTAAAGGATGCTGTGACTGAAAGCAATGATGTGTAAAGAATTTGTGCACTAGATCAGATTGGTACTTGTTTGAACACTCGTACATCTCAACAATAATTGCTTAATGGATCCCATATGTATTTTTGATACATATTTTAAGCTTTTTAAATCCTACTTTGAAGTTCTTTCAATATTTTGTATACTTAAGATTGCAGGAATTTTTTTCTAATGAAAGTCATGGGAAATCTTTTTTTTAAATGTAAGGTTCAGCTGAAGTCTAATGCTCAGTGATCATCCACACCACCACACCCTCTCTTTTCCTTTCTCATTTGCTATTCCCCCCCCAAGCTCAGTTGGAAAAGTACTGCCAATATGAAACTGACCAATGAATATCAGTAATTTCCCAGTTTCTTTCCCTGGATCCTCTTGAGTTCATTGATCACAGTGGGGTCACAATTAGCCGTAACAACTTCTGAGATGGGAGGGGAAAAATATCAACCTAATTTCCTGTTCCTGATCATTAGCCAGTAATATTTGTTGGAAAATTGCAAATGTGTGATAATGGGAGAAGTTAGGGCTGGGATCCGTTGTCATACCCTGTTGTTGCTCCCTCTCTAGGCACATGCATGAAGATTAGTTGGAGAGATACCAAATGGTGACTGTGCCAGCCTAGGTTCATATCTTCCTGGCCAACAATTCCCAGGATAAAATCACTTAGGAACTTTTAACGTCCACCTAAGCCGGCAGTTAGGACCTCAGTTTAATGTCTCATCCAAAGTACAGCTCCTCTAACATTGCAACCCCTCCCCAGCATGGTACTGAAGCACCTGCATATACTATGAACTCAAAGTCCTGTGGGGGCTTTAACATAAGCAACTTTGAATATCTTTTAAAGAGATTATTCTCTCTTGCTTCAGTTTCACAATTATTATTTTGGTTTGCATGTTACTCCAGTGTTATGTGGTGTTGCTTTTATGTTACTACTGAAATTATCTTAACTGTGCTATCAACAGAAGACAAAACAGTTCATCTTTGAAGATAATTCAAAGCCGTTTATTTCACCATGCAGTTATTGAGAATTATTCTCTATTCGATTCAGATTCTCCCCTCATTTATGTTTTAAAGTATTCAAACTTTTATGTAAGGTAGGCTTTGCTCAGGAGCTCTTTAAAGCTTCACATTTATCTATAATGTATGGCGGGACAGGGGAAAAGATGCCACGTCAAATAGTTGTCCAACCAGAAGAATAAAGAGCAGACGAGAAAGTGTTCACACTCTTTAATTGATGACAAGACTAGGAAATGGATCGAAAGGAATTACTTCAAAGCAACAGGTGTCGTTCCCATTCCCAGAATCCAAGGTTTCAGCACGGCCACTAATAGATTTCTTTACTCATTCCATTTTATTCTGCTATAAACCATAATTTAGAAGGAAGTATAATGAGAAGAGTGGAGTGTAGGATTGGCTCTCCAAAGCAGCAGTAGAAAATGATTGAGCACATAAAACTATTAGGCTGGTGAGAAATAATTATCCATTTATAAAAAGCAACACCTTCTCCTCTCCGTTATTTCATCATTCATCTTGTCTTGACTTGTACCTGCCATACTTCAGAGTCCATTAAATTGATTATTTCTTGTCGACTGGATAAACAATTTTTTATGGTATGGATTTTGTTATAATAAGCCTGTACGTGTGTCCCACACTGAGAATTGTGTTTTAGTTTCCTAAAAGGTGTAGAAGATTAAACAGTTTAATATTGGTTTGGGGAGTTTCCAGATTTCACATTTTCACCGAGACCTGAGACTAAAAAAATTAATCTCTGCTCCTTTCTTAAAACAGTGCCTTTGGCTGCCCTTATTCAGAAATCAACATGAAGAAAGAATTGACACTTCAGGACCGACTGGGAGGAGAGAAACAGATGGCTTTGGTACCAATCCCTTTCCCCCCAGGAACTAAACGGCTGGATAGTAACGACTTAGGTGGAAAGCCAGAGGGGTGTGTTAATGAGACAAGGTAAGTTCCTCCTTAAAGATGTTCTTTTAAGCCAAGAAGCACTCTTAACATTCCCCTCTGGTAGAAATCTCATATTTCCTTTTGGGGAGGGGAATACATGGCTAAAGAAATGAATTTCATTGAAGTTCTGGAGACTAGAGGACCTGCGGTCTTTTCATCGGAATAGAGAAGGTTGAGTGGAGACCTTATCAAGGTCTTTAAAAGTATGTGGGGTTTTGATAGTCAGTAGGGGGATATTCTTTTTACTGGTCAGTGCCCAGAGGGCATCAATTTAAGATAATTATTAAAGGAGGCAATTGGGAGGAATTTATTTTAAACAGTGTTATCAGGATGTACAATGTCCTGTCAGTTGTGATTATCGAGGCAAGGTCCATATTAGCTTTCAAGAGGAAACTAGATAGATATCTAAATGTTATAACCTGCACAGGGAAAAAAACAGGTAAATTGCACTGAATAACTTGTTCTTTTTAAGAACCAGTACAATATACAATGGCCTTAGATACCTTGTGATGTTTCCTATGGTTCATTTAGGACTGGTCATTTTATGTAAAATGTATTGCTTTCAGAGAATCATGCATGTCATGCTGACTCTCAAGACCCTGCTTTGAGGCAATCTTGGGTCAGAGCTGAGGTCTTGCTGTTAAGCATGCCATTGTATGGGTTACCTGTACGAGAGGCACTTTAAGTCCCAGGTGCTTTTTCCAGTTTGAGACGCCATTTAAGATGCAGTTTATCGTTTGAGTGCTTTTGCAACATTATTGTATGTTGTGTGTTTAAATGACAGAAAATGACAAATAATGTAATATACATAAATCTGAATACCATTTGAAGACTTCTGAAAGCTCCTGTGTGGACCAAGTAACTATTATAATATTTAGCTTTAAATGAGATATCCATCTGAATGGAATGCAACTACTGTAATATTTTATTTTACAAATTCATGAAGAATGAGGCTTTAGTAATTCCTATCAGTCCTTAATCTTATTAAGGTTTGAATTTCTCTACACACATGTTTACTTGAAATTAAGAAAAAGGTTTGCAATTGCAAACTGTTTGTTGTCCAAGTTTCCACAAACTATTTGTACTAATACTTTGATGTTGAAAGGGAGCCTGATATGTTACTGCAGTAAGCAGAAACTTGCACATAGGAGTGAATCATTAGCTAATATTAATAATGAAGAAGAGTGCTTTATTACATGGAAGTCTGTGGATTTGGGTTCAGATTATATACTTGTGAAGTTTAATGCTATTTGTTAGAACTGGTGAGAGCACATCCTGAGCCCAGATCATTCATTATAAATAATTCAACTTGTGATACTTTACCAAATGTAGCCAGAAAACTCTAGCATGTATTGGGAAATAAAATGTAGCAATTTCAAAGAGACTTCCTTAACTAATAATTCCCTGACTATGTCATGACTACTCATGGAAACTCTGTGTTTGGGATGAAGTTCCCATGAGTCAGGTGATGTCTCTGACATATTTTCAAGATTCCCAGGAGTCCTCCCGCATTTTTCTGAATTAAGGAATCCCATTTGAAGGAGAAAAAAAAAACTTGTACCGTCAAAACACTCTTGCATATTTTCCCAAGTCTCAATTTCAAAAAAAAGTGAGGAGGCAGAAAGGAGGAAGAATAGGGAGGACATTGTATTCAGATTCAGAAACAATCTGAAAAAAATTAAGAGGATCACGATAAAATGGAGCCATAAAATGAAGTTACAACAGAAAACTGAAGCAAACCTTTTTTTTGCTTTAAAAGAAAGTAGACAAATTAAAAATGTAAGAACATGTCTTGTTAGAAAGTAACCAAAGTCTTATCGATGTCTTTCCTTGTGTTTATTATTGTAGAAAATGCCCCACTCCTGGATGCAATGGATCTGGTCACATAACTGGGAAGTATAATGGCCACCACCGGCCCTCTGGTTGTCCCCTCGCAGAACAAAATCAGATTAAGATCAAACTAGAGCCACAGGATGATGAAGGGCCTCAAGAAAATAACTCAATGTTAATGTTTGCACAGGGCAGAAAGACGAAGCATCAAGGAAGGTGAGCAGATAGATTAACGTGATGAGTAAGCATAAGATGTAAGGAGATAGATTGTATTGATGGGAGTCGATTCATGTTGATGCAGTCAATAAAACGTAAAGGATATTGTTGGATTGCAGACTGATGCCTTTAATAACCATATACAACAACAACAACAAGATTCCATTTATTGAGCGCCTTTCACGTCGGGAGGACGTCCCAAGGCGCTGTACAGTTAGGTCAGGACCCGAGCAGGGGGGAAATGGTCAGGGTGAGGGGAGGGAAGGGAGGGAGCGAGGAGGGGGTAGAGAGTCGAGAGGGGAGCTGAAGGCACGGTCAAAGAGAAAGGTCTTGAGACCGGCCTTGAAGGAGGAAAGGGAGGAGGCAAGGCGAAGGCACTGGGGGATAGAGTTCCAGAGCCTCGGGGCTGAGAGGCTGAAGGCCCGGCCACCGATGGTAGGGCGGTTGGGGCGGGAATGTGGAGCAGACCAGAGCCAGAGGAACGGAGGGTACGGGCAGGTAGGTAGGGGAATAGTAGGGGGATAAGCAAAGAAAAAGCACCGTTTATAGCCAGATAGCTTCACTGAAGCATTTATCATTGAATAGATGACCCTTTCTAGAAGGCACAACATTTATAAATTGGCTGTAGAAATCTGCCGCTGTGATTTTAAAAATGATGTTTTCTGAGCCTTTAGAAATAATTTAAATATTAATATTATACTTGCATTATAATTACATTTATATTAAGGTTGCCCTGACAATTACAAACACCCAAAATACTTAGCAAGCACTTATTAACTTATGAACACAGCTGCTCTTGGTCCAGATCTCGCATCAGGGCCCCCTGGGGACTTGTTATGCCTCTGCTACCTTGCACTTGGCTAAGAGGAGTTTTCTTTGGATTGTTGTTCAGTATCTTTAAGCTTTATTCGTAGTTTGGTGTGCAAAGTTTCTGCGCATGTTTTTTTTTCCATCAATGGTGTCTCAGAAAGTGATCTGCTGGAGCCCACACTGATCAGACTAAACTCTGGTCACTTGGACAGTTCCCTGGTTTTGAATTTGCATCAAATACATAGGTTCTTCTCAGTGACTGATTTGTGCCCCTGTTCTTGCCACCTTCCTTTATGCATGATATTTTGAAGTATTCAGGTTGATGTTTTTATGTCACATGCCGGAAGGCAACGCTTTTCAGATAGTAATTATTTTGAAGACTGAGAGCCCACACCTTTAAAGCTTTCAAACCATTCCAGGTTGGTAAATACAGGCGTTGTCATGTATATATTATATCCATGGAGAACGGACTCCTTTCCATATGGGAATCGTGCTTCTTCAGAACATGAATATGACCGTTCATTACTTGTCGTAACTTTGTGAAAAATACAAGTGATTGTCAGCATCACAACTGTTACACTTGCACCTGTACCTGACATATCTAAATCATGATTTCATGGAATAAAATTGGTGGTATTTCTTAAAGTACTCCTTAACTTATTGAAGGAATATTCAAAGGAACAACCGTTTCAGGGCAATACATAGATGGCAGTGGAACTCAGTGCAGATGGTTTGTGGGCAGCAGTCTGAAACATGTTCCTGCAGCATTACTGGGACATCAATACTACTTAACCAAAGTTTTTTTTGCTCACAAAAATATACAAGTCAATTCACTTTGCAGTATATTCTGTGAATCTTTGAGACGTCTCGAAGACATGATAAGGCGCTATATCAAGTGCAAGGATTATTATTATTAACAACAACAAATTACGTTTGTATAGCGCCTTTCAGGTCAGGAGGACGTCCCAAGGCACTGGAAATTATGTTTGTACCATTATGAAGCTAGAGGAACTACAGTTCAGGATCTCCAACTTCATTACTTTTTGCCTCATGCTGTTAACTCAAATTACTGCTGGTATTTTTGACTTGGTTCCACTTCACAAATTATTCAGACTGGATCTTATCCTCTTCTAACTAGGATATCACGGGCGGCTAAGTATCTGAAAATGAAGGAGGAAGAGGATGATATTGACCTGCATAGTCTACTAATCAAAGGTAATGCCTTTCTGAAGTTATTTTCTTTCGTGAACCAAAGAAACTACTAAACAATTAATATAAATTGCTATATTAGAATTATTGAATTATTCTAATACACTTGTGCCACAACCTAAAATGTAGCTTTCCTCATCATTTAAATCCAGGGTCTGAATCCATTGGTACAATAATAACTATATGCATGTACTTTATTTGCTGGGATGAAACACTACTGAGCAAGTGGTATACAGATGGTAAAAGTATGGAGATTACCATCTTTTAACACGTTCAAAAATTGTAGCAGCCTTTTAAGTTCTCTACAGTGGCTGACACTAATCTGTAGCTTTTTGTGCAGGATAATGTGTCTTATATCTATAATTAATGTTAGTTTCATTTGCTCAAATTCAATTGATCAGAAACTTTGCCTTGTAACTAATTTTAAAGGTAGAGGATGATCGACTGAAGAACACTTCCCATAAGTAGATATGCATGTGCAATTTTGCATGTGTATTGATCTGAGTTTAGAACAAACTGGAGGCCTCCAACAACAACAACTTAAGGTAGTGTCCCAGAGCGCTTGGCATTGCCAGGGAGGGGGGAGGTGACCATAGGCACGGTCGAGGAGGAAGGTCTTCAGGCGTAACCTGAAGTTGGGGAAGGAATGGGCAAGGCGGAGGGATAGAGGAAGAGTGTTCCAGAGTTAGCGGCCGTAGTGGCCGAAAACGCGGCCATCTGGGAGATTGTGGTTGAGAGGGAGGGGGGAGTAATTGGGGAAAAGGAGTAAAGAGAGGGGGGATTGATAGGGGCAGTGGCGCACGGAATGGTGGTGTTGACTGCCTGGGGGGTGAGGAAGGAAACATTGGGGAGGAGGATGCAGCCAAGCGGATCTTCAATCTTTGACACAAGAAGTGTTCTAGAGATCCTAGGAGTCTGGGGGTTGGGGGTGGTGGGTGGTATAGAGGAGGTGATGGACGGTAGAGAACAGTGCATTTCAAATAGAAATTTTTTTCCTCGAGCCACAGTTGCTGGTGGATTGTGAGGTTGGATTTAGTAATAATAATAATCCTTGCATTTGATATAGCGCCTTATCACGTCTTTGAGACATCTCAAAGCGCTTCACAGAATATACTGTAACGTGAATTGACTATATATTTTGTTGGCGAAACGCAGCAGCCAATTGCGCACAGCAGTGTCCTACAAACAGTTGTGGATTGAGTGACCAATTTTTTTTTGAAGGAATTATTACCTCCGGAAAAGCGATCCGCCATTTGACTAACAACTGGGTTCCTACTTACTGCTAGGTAAACAGAGTCTTGTAGAGTAAGAAAACTTGCCCAACGTTTCGCCCTGCCTGGGATTTGTGCCATCTGCGCTCAAGTGTCCAGGTTTGTGTTGAGGGAGCGGAAGTGACTGTGATACCAGGGGGAATGGGTAGATTTGGATACAACCTACTTCTTTTGACTGCACATCTACTTAGCAGAGTGAATCTGTTGGCCAGAGGATGGTGAATGGGCTAGTGCAGATTCATACTATTAAGAAACAAAAGTACATAGGTTTAGAGTTGTAAAGGACACTTTCAGAACAGATATCTGAAAGTTTTTCTTTAGATAGAGGGTAATTAATGACTGGAACATATTTCCAGGAATATTGGCGGAGACCTAGGAGCCTGGACTTATTTAAAAAGCAACTTGATGGGGTGGGGGACAGGGGTGATGGAAGCATGGGTGTTCTGGAAGGATGAGGTCAGATAGGCTGAAGGGCCGTCTTTGTCGAAACCGATCTTGTGAAGTAGCTGGAGCCATTCTTCAATGTGAACGATTGGGTGCAGTAATGTTGAGATACTTGTTGGTTTTGGGGGCTCTTTGCCACAGTACTACTCCAACATCAAACTAAACTATTGTGGTCTCATTGGAGAATCAATGGGTAAATGAGAGTGATATTTGGCTGCTCTTTGCTGGAATTGTGATGCCACATTCATACTGTTAACAGCAAGAAATATTGGCATAATAAACTTAACTCATCATGACCCACATGGTTTTAAGAACCATCTACTTTCCTGCAATTCTTTGTGTTCTTTATCTAAACGGCTATTATTAGATATGACACAATTATTTATGGCCTATTCTAGAGCTTCAAATTAGCACAGAATGCTTTATTATGGTCCATTATGAAGCTAAACATTCATTCTATAAACTCTGGGGCATCATTTATATGTGAACCCAGAGATTTGGTTTCAGATGATTGAATTGAAGATGGAAGAAAATGTACAGATTGATTAATTCTCAAAATGGGATAACAATCATTTCAACGTGATGCGCTTATATTCTTCACTTCAAACTGAAGGACTAAGTATTCATTCTGTTCTTGAACTACACAGTGGAGAGTATTTCATTTGAAGCTGCTGAATTGATTGCACAACTACCATTGCTGTTGCTATGGTAATCTTTTCTGCCTTGTGGAGTGAGCATGATTGTGTATTCCAATCCTTTGCGCCGTTTTTCATTTACAGTTGAAAATATGTATTGCTTTATACATTTTTTTAAAAACACAATTACATTAATTAAAACCATAGATGTAGATACAGTATTAGTGCATTCACACACAATATGGATATGAAGTGTCTATCAAAAACAAGAAAAATGTAGATTTAAAAAGTACAAAAGAATTGGAAAAGATATATTAACTGTTAGAGCTGAAAGATCTTTGTAATTTTTTTTAGAATGGGTAAATGTTTATAATTTGTAACCACAATGGCAATGGACAACTGGGTTTTGGAAAATTTGAATACAGATTATTTTTCTGTCACATTTAAAACCCTTTATGTTTGCTCATCTGTCCCTCCCTTCAAAACCCGCCTTAGGAACTATATGATTGGCTAAACTTTTTGCCATCTCGCCCCCTACCCCCACTCTGGCATGGGTTTCCTGTCAGCTGTATGAAGCACTTTGAGACATCCTTCTGACCATGAAAGGTGCTTTGTGAATATGAATTGTTGTTGAGGTTGAGTTTGTGCAGTAGCGAATAGCACTTAAAAATATAATTCGAAGCAGTGATAAATATTTAATTGAAACTGTAAACTGTAGAAATTTGCAACTTTCCTCTGTCTCTTGGGTTTACCAACATAGGGGTAAGTATTCATGGTCACAGCAAATAGTGCTTTTTACATTGGAATTGAATTAATGTGCTTTATTCACCGAGCTATTCTTCATGTAATGAAGCCGTCAATGCCAGCAATAACAACCTCATTTGGAAAAAGAAAATGATCTATCTACTTCAATACAGCTTTAGTGAATTTGATGAATAATTCAATGAACCTCACTTCTATTATTTATCATCTACAATGTCTCTACCTGTGGATGATAAAAGCAATTAGAATATTTAGAATTTTTTATTGCAATGTAACAAGTGGTTAAAAAATAATCCAATGTAATATTTTCAGATTGATGATCGCAAGTAGAGATGGATGGATTAGTAAATAGATAAATGACAGTAATTCAGGATAATCATGAGACTGTTTCTCTCTCAAGAAAAAGTTTTCCAAATGCTTTTCTTCAAGGCAGAGCCACTCTTGCAAACAAAGTTTGTCAGCCTAACTCAGTTGATAGCATCTCAGTCAGAAGGTTGTGGGTTCAAGCCCTGTATCGGGCCTTTCAACGCACGTAGTCTAGGCTGACACTGCAGTGTATTGCTCGGGGTGCACTGAATTGTTGGAATTGCCGTTCTTCAGATGAGATGTTAAACCGAGGTCTCGTCTACTTGTTCAGGTGGACATTAAAGATCCTATGGCGCTTTTTGAGAAAAAGAAGAGAGCCAATAAAACTGGTCATTCATGTCATGGCTGTTTGTGGGGCGTTGCTATGCACAAATAAGATGCAGCATTCACGTATAAAATGCACAATCAATGCACTTTACAGTATAAATGCCCAACTGAAATCAATTGTGCTTTAAATAACACTCCTTTATCTGAGCCAAAGTAGAAATTGATCTTTTCGATCGCGCCTTTGGTCACCTTCCTCCCCCTCCCCCTGGCTCGGCCCTGGGACTCCGTCTGGCGTGGAGCGCACTATATAAATCCAAGTTGTATATCCTGTGAAGCCCTTTGAGATGCCTTCCTGAAGTGACCGGCCTTATACCAAATGCAAGGATTATTATTAGTATTTTGATTAATAAACTGAAAAAGAAAGACTTGGGAACTATTTAGAATTTTGGGGGGGTATGTGGAACATGAGACTTTTTATGAAATTTCGATTAAGTCAAGGAAAATTCTCTCACACTAACTGAAGAGGCTTGAAAATAACCAAGGTTTTATTGCAGCCATAAAACTAGGAGGAAAATGACAAAATGCCCAACTGAAATCAATTGTGCTTTAAATAACACTCCTTTATCTGAGCCGAAGTAGAAATTGATCAATAATAATTTAAATAACATTTATTACCTTACCCAAAATAAAAAAAAGTAGTTTACTCTCTGAGAATAATCAAAGGTTGATATGGATTTACATCAAGCATTTGCTCTCCTCTGCACTACATCAAGGTTCTGGACAGCCTGTTATGCCGTGGTGACCAAAACTATCTAAAGTATTGTGAGTCCCAGAAGTCATACTCAAGCTATGTAGTACGATATACATACTATATATGCTACTATATAGTACGTACTATATATACTATTATATAGTACGATATACTACAATATACCTTGAGTATAACTTCTGGGATCTGAACTCAACTGATTTGGCAATATAGCCCAACATCCTGCTTGCCTTCTTTATTGCTGCCTCACACTAGTTTGACATGGTGAGGAATGAGTCAATGCACACCCCCAGATCTCCTTCAGCTTCTACTTTTGCAAGTTGTATCCTATGTGTCTTTCCTATTTTTACTTCCAATCCATAGGACCTTACATTTATCTGTATTGAATTTCATTTGCCAGTCATGAGCCCATGTGCATAACCTATCAAACTCTCTTTGTAGGTCCTTTGCTGCTTCCTCTGATTCCAGGGTCCCCTCAACTTGGTGTAATCT